ACTTTGTCATTGAGATTTATAAAATATAAATATACATGAGATAAATATATAAATGAAAATATATGGTAACCTTATGTGTCACATAGTATCATAAAAATTTAAATAAAAAAATATTGACGTAGGAGTATATAACTTCCAGGTTATATTAAGATTTAAAAAATATAAATTTGAAATATATATAAATATAAACAATGAGATTTGATCAGCGTTTTATATTTTTTTGTTTTTTTGCAAAAAATCTTAAAGAGTTAATGAAACTTGATGAAACAAATTCGTAAATTTTTCTAGTGTGAAATCTCAGTAATTCCTGACCGTTTTTTTGTGAAGTGATTCTCAGCGATGCATCCCCTTGAATCCACGGTGCACTCGTCGGGCGCATTGCAAAATCCAAATTCGCTGCCATTCGCGACGAATGCAATCAAAATAATAATACATAGAACTTTCAAGGCCGACATCTTTCACTCGCAAATCTTACATTCCTCTTTCTTTTTTTCTTCTTCTGGATTTCCAATTTCAGTCTGTTCTTTCACTGTGCTCCAGTAAAGAATTTCCAACCTTTATGTTGCATTAAATATCGCAGAATTTGTATTGAATAGAGCAGAGAGAATGAGAGAGAATAAGCAAAGCTTCTCTCTGATAATACATATTAAAATCGAAATTTTCTCGTTAGATTTCTGACCCTGTCTGATCCGTCTCTTTTTTACATTATTATAATCGTGCACGACGGCTAATTGAATTAATGATGCGGTTTTATAACAAATTAAAAGACTGTATCGATTGTAAAGTGGGGAGCACAGACTCTTACATAATGCAATTATAACCATAAAGCCGGTTCTACACTAGTTGCAAGCTGATCGCAAGTTTGTTGCGACAGCCAATCTAATAGCGTTTTCGGCTCGGTCAGGTTTGCACCAACCTGGGTTGGATTAATGGCGTTTTGTGCTCTCCTATTGGTAGAGCGGGTGACGTCATCCAATAGGAAAGATTAATCCAACCCAGGTTGGTGCAAACCCGATCGGGCCGAAAACGCTATAAAGCTTGCATTTTGAAATGAACGCTTCATAATGGCCTAGTTTACATCGTGCACTTGATCCGAGTACTAACTAGTAACTTTCTATTGAATGATCTTAATTTCGGCGATACATGTAAACATATATACGATATGTGTATTTAATTAATTATTTTGATGCATATTGTACTAATTTAGTACATCATTCTTTGAATACATCGCTGAAATTAAAATAATTTCATAGGAAGTTACTAGTTAGTACGTGTATCAAGTGCACGATGTAAACTAGGCAATTGGCTGTCGCAACAAATTTGCGATCAGCTTGCAACTAATGTAGAACCAGCTTAAGACGATGTTGAAATAAGAATCGACTATGGCTACGTTCGAGGAGCGCGCTATCAACGCTACTTGTGTCATACTATCCTTGTTTCACATTTAATGGACGATGAAGATAGAATGACACAAATAGCGCTAATAGCGTCTCCCCGACCCCAGCCTATGAATACCGGCTCGAGATCTTGGATGAAGAAAGAATTGACCAATCGCAATGATCATATGATCAAATTGTTCAAATGTGATTTGTTTCTCCAGGAGGAAAGAAGAGGAAGAAAAATGAACTGGTGCAAAAGTTCAGCCAAAAAGAACAGGTTTCATGCATCATGTGCGGCCAGTTTTACATGCATTGATTAGCTTGCAAGAGAGTCGTGGTATATCCACATAAACTTACATAGCCACATAAACGTATGCATAAAGAAAATTATCCAATCACATTTTACGTGCGCCTTTATAAAAGAAATGCGATTGGATAATTTTCTTTATATACGTTTATGCGGCTATGCAAGTTTGTGTGGATATACCCTTATGGCCGTAGCACAGACTTTTGCATAACGCATAACGCATAGTGCATAAGCGAATCGACTAATCAGAAGCTTTCCTTTCCTCTCATTCCATGAAAAAGAAGAATTTCGATTGGTTGATTCCCTTATGCACTATGCATTATGCGTTATGCAAGAGTCTGTGTTGCGGCCATAAGCATGAAAATGGGCCGCTTATGGATGATCTAGAAGAATACACCAATAACAGCGAGTGCTCACGGATCTGCTCCACAACGGTTGAGTCTGCTGAACGCGACCAATTATGCATCGTGTGAGGCCAGCTTTAGAAATCTAGTGACTAGTGATCGGTTTCCTCTCAGAAAGTGTCGTAAAGTGTCACGTTTGTTGCTTTCAATTGTGCAATTGTTTTACATATTCTAACGTATTTGTAGGCATTTACACAAGCCGGAATTATTAGGGATTACCCGGTTTTCTGAATTTGTCGAGGACACGCTACTCGACGATTTACTAAACGCTTCGCTCTAAACTTGCTTCGTCTGGTTTTGTGACTACCTCGTTTTATCATATCTATCAAGACTTCTATTGCATTGATTTCTTATTCTATCGTCTTCTGTCGAACTGCAAATCGGCAGCAAACGAAATTGTTTTTTACAACAAACAATGCAAAATCATGAAGTTCTACGAGGTAATTAACTTTGGTGTAACTTACAATTTTTAGGATATGTAGCACAATTTGTGCCAACGACAGGAAATATTTAATTTATAAAATGATTTTTTATTATTAAATAGAATCCAGAGTGCGTGCCTTTGGAGGAACTGCAGTTGAATATTAAGAATGACGGAGTGATTGTTGTGATAGATGCGCTGGTAACGTTAATTTTTTAATCTTAGCATTGTAGAACTTCATAGATTTGTTTTTTTAACTTTTCATACTTGTGAAGCAAGATTGTGTGTTTACACGTAAAATATAATCTGTAGATCTTTTTTCTATAACTGAATTATAATGTACCTTTAGAACTCAAAGTCAAGTAGGGATATGTTTGATATTTCACAAAAGAAAATTCTAATGCAGCAATAAAAAAAGAGGATTAAAACTCGTTTTTTTCTTGAAAAAAGTTTTAAACTGGTACACCAATGTAAAAGACTCCAACATATTGCGTATTTGTTTTACTTCAACTGTGGGAGTGAAACAAATATAGGTTAGCATTCATAATCAGGTCTATATCTTAAACACAGTCTTAAGATGAATCAGTAGAGAATCCTATTAGCATCTTAAGACATTACGGTTTTAAAATAAATATTATGAATCTTCCTCTCTCTCATATGATCATTATATCAGCCTATGGATCATTAGAATCACGGTTGCCAGGTCCTGAGCACTGTATGGCTGGGGCTCCGAGGATCTGTGCACTGGAGATTTCATATTTTGACTGGAGACCGGCCGATTGTTTCATTAAAAAAAAGAGAACAAAAGGCACAGGGTTTAATTCGTATTTTGTGACCACTGTTACAGACTTTCTTTTTGTTGTGTTTGACCAACATAAAACGTCAACACAATTACAAACTTTTTATTATTTGTAAAATAACATAAACTGCGAACATAATCACAGACTTTCTTATTATTTTCCATGTAATTTAAATATACAATTAATAAATACCCCACGTGAGCAAAAAACTGGAGATTTTTCTTGTCTGCTGGAGACTGGAGACTGGTCTCGAAAATTGCAGTCTCCAGTCGAAATTTGGAGACCTGGCAACTGTGATTAGAATCTATGTTGTATGTCATTGTACTGGATTGTGCTAAAATTTTTATCTTATATATATTTTTATTTAAGTACTAAAGTCATATTTTAACAATCATAAAATTTAATTACTTCTTTCTATATGTTCTTTCTGTTATGCTCAATTTAGAATAATTTACATTTTTTACATTGCTTGTCTTGTCTGCATATATGAAAAAGATTTGTGTAAACTTAATGTGACAATATACACAAATTTTAAGCAAAGTAACTTTGAAATATACAGCATAATCCTGATTTAAAGTGAAATAGCTATAGGCCTGTTCTTTTTTAACTAAACTTATATGGTTCAACTTTTTTCTTTTTTTATGTTAAAAGAAAATAAAAAAGATGGAATTATATGTTTAAAATTTGGCAAAAGCAAGAAGGAAAGCTCTAGTGCAGTAACAAAAACAAATCTGAAATCTCAAAATTCATGTTCCATTTTTATTGGACATCTAATAATTGCATAATAAGCCATATTTATTCAACGTTTAAGTTCCTGTATATTGTTTAATATCGAATTTTAGAATATGAAGTGGGCAGATAAGCGTTACTTTCTAAGTTACGTAGCGCCAGAGATATACAATGAAGATGGGTCAGAAATTATGGGTGCTAAGGATCATTGGATAGAAATTGTGAGTTACATAATCGAAGATCTAAACTGGTTACTGGCTCTTCCATTTTATCGGTATAGTAATTTCAGCATTCGATCTGTTCTTTTTAATTGAGCTTTTTGCATCATTTTCACAAGTTCATCATTTCTCTTTTTCTTTTCACATTAGAGAGAAAAATGGATGAGGAAAGATGAATGATACAAGAAGTTCAACTGAAAAGAACAAATTTACAGTTAACGGCATGTCCAATTACTACAAGTAGTTTTCTTTATTTAGATTCTGGTCCAATATTATATACAATACATCGATTATGGATACATTAGTTTCTTTTTTACAAGAAGCCCCGCCTTTTTATACCTTGGAAAGTTTTCCTGCTGACCCAAAAATGCTCGAGGCATTAGAGAATCTTCGTCGCAACGTACTTATCGTCTTCGCGCGTCTTTGCACGAATAAGCAGAGTTCAGTAGAATACATGAACCGTCCGTTTCTTGGAAAACTATTGTATAATTATTACATATTCACGATACCAATTATATTTGATCTATGTCAACTATATGGTAGAGAAAGTACCAAAGTAGTAGAGAAAATTGTAGATAGCGTATTTAGTCTACAACCGATGTACAATGATGATCTTCAGAAATCTATACCATACCTTATAAAGGTGATATATATTGTTTAATCATGATAAAAAAAAAACATTAATTTTTTATATCTTACATTTCAATTACTGATTCTATTTATGTTAGTCACAAATATGAATTGATATAATTAATTCTCTAAGTTAAATTTTCTTAAAAATATAATTAACATTATTGTTGATCAAAAATAGAAACCTATTTAAAAAATTGTGAATCTATAATTTTTGTTTCAATTGAATTAATCAGTTAATCATCTTTACTATCATAGGCTCTCGAAAATGTTGAACGAAGATTTGAAAATTGGCCAAGTAATGCTACTGAAGCAGTGGCGCTTTCAGAAAGAGGAGGCCCCATTGAGATGACATTATATAATTTAGAGGATTTAATACTGTATGTTCTAGATATATCATCAACTCTTACCATATTGTTAAGAGTCTATCCTCCAGTAACTGCCATATTTCATAAAGATGACTTCATAAACAAGTGAATAAAAGACTTTATTTTATTACTAATATCTCATCTAATTAATACATTATTTTTAGCAATATATTCACGTTTTTATTAAACCAGTTTTTTTAATATTCGACGATTTTTATTAAATTGAAATTCTCTTATTTGTGAACGTATATACTTTGCTCGAATGCACAATATATTTTTATTTTGGTGCCACTATATTGTTTCTGTTTGCTAGGATAGTTTCAATATATGGGAGTACTATACCTGAGATGTATAAAAAGTTAGACGAATTAGCATATAGCGAGGAAAATATGCCGAAGTACATCGAATTGAAGCATCGTCTCGATGTAACCAGAGTTGAAATGTTAAACCTTTATCGAATTATTATCTATGAATCCATATTACAAATTCAAGAAAAAATG